GGTGTGGTGGGGACTGTTCCAGGCAGAAGGAAAAGTGTGTACAGACCCTTAAGGGAGTGTTCGCATGGTGGTTCTGAGGAACCCAAGGTGACTCACTGTGACTGTAGAGCAGACAGTGAAAGGGCCTGTGATGGGAACTTCCACAGGAGAGCCAGGTGGGACCTCCTGAGCCATAGTGACAGACCTAGTGTGACTTCCTAAGTTTATCAGGACGCCAGATTGTGACAGCCAGAGTGTGACATGGGTCAGGTCTAAATTCAGCAATGACTGGTTTTGCTGCTACGTGGTGAAAGGGAAGGGCTTGCACATGGGGAGACCAGGTGGGATGCTTCTGTGGAGGCCAGCTGAGAGAAGAAGGGGGTTTGCAACGGGAGGCCGGTAGTGGAGAGGCACACTTACCTGGGAAGCCGGCTTAGCCTGGCAGTGAGAAAACCAGACTCTAGGTGGTTCTTCCCGGGCTGAGGATCCTGGAGGATGCAGGAAGAAATCATATATTTGGGAAACCTCAGGACTAGGGGTGATAGACATGAGCAGTAGGAATTCAGGCTGTAAACTGGTGGAAAGAAAATGGGGATGAAGTTGGGATGAAAGTACCCCAAAGGGGTTATGAGCCTTAAGCCGGTCAAACATGGTTTTCACCAAATGCAAAGAGTGTTGCGTGTGGATTTGTCTTTTAGTTCTTTTTACTGCAAGCTATGCTTGATGGGCATAATGATCACAAAGCATCTATGTTTCTTGGAACTTAAAAAGAGAAATACGCTTTTAGCATCCAGCGATTTGCCTTGAGCTGCTTAAAATGAGAGCCTTTTCAAGTGAAGGCTATATTGAGGCCTCTGATCGGCTAAGAAAGAAACTGTACCTGGAGGTCAGAATGCGTCTCAAGTCTAGTGCCAGTGGTTGCTGGAACTACCCTGGGCGCTGGTGTCTGGTAGACCTTCACACGTTGCACCCACCCACCACATTGCTGCCAGCACTGGCTTCCCACATGATTTCCACGAGCCCTTGGATGCATCATCTATCTAGCCTCTCTTAGTTGCTCACGCTTCAAATGGCAGGGGCCCAGCCCTTGCAGTGTCTTTTACCTCTAGGGTATTTGATTCCACGCGGCAAGAATCCTTCATTCCCCAGAGTGCTGTTCTGTGCTAGACATGCCTGCGTATTCTTGCTCACTGAGGCCTTTGTTACTTATCGATCATTGTCATGGTTTCTAGTCTTAATAAGGCCAGGAAGAGTTCATTCCTTATTAACACCACTTTTTGCCCTGAGAAAACCTCAAGCCTGTTTCTGAAAACCCATTGCAGTCCCATAAAGGCATCTTCCCTCTTCTCCCCCAATTTACTTCAATAAACAAATGAATAAATACACATTTATTGAGCGCCTGTTGTGTGCCCTCCGTAATGCTCAAGGTTCTCTCCCACTTAATTGTCAGGCACCCTTGTCAGGGAAGGGTGATGTTCAGCATTATAAGAAAAGGAATCAGCAGCTCACAGAGGCTAACTTTCCCAAAGTCATCCTGCAAAAAAGAGGGTAGTAGAATAATATGAAACCCAAGACTTCTGATTCTGGTTTTTCCCACCTAAACTGGTAAACAAACTGGTTTTAGATGGCTAATGGACAGTGCAGGGAAAAAATTAAATCACGTGATGGTAATGTTGTTTTCTTTTCAGTTCTCTCTCAAGCATCCTGATTAGTCAAGTAGAAGATGCATTTGGTGTTAAAGGGGCTTTAGCACGTGTTGAATATTTGCTGATCTGCCATTTTAACAAAGAGAGCTGGTCTCAGGCTCAGCACCGTTAACACTCAACAGGCTCCAGCAAGAATTTTAAAAAATTATTTTGGTTTCATCTTTTATTTTTGGAACATCATACTGGTTTCTCTCATGGTGGTGATAGATATAAAGGAAGAGGATTATGGGGAAAATAATTAAAGAAATTATTCCTCTTTCTAGGAAGAGAATTATGGGAAAAATAATTAAAGAAAAATATTGAGTAAGTTACATTTCAGGTATATGAGCATAATAATGATAAAAAGCATGAATATGTATCCGTCTGAATGAAGCTGGGAATTGCATCATTGATTCACAGTGCCTCTCTGGCTCCCAGGACGTGTGGGCCTTGAGGAGATCATTGCCATGCTAAGTTCTGAAGCTGCTCTTTTTTTATTTGTTTCCCTGGGAAACATATAGAAGCGATTATAATGAAAACTCTCCCTGCCATTAGGACCATTGGACATCCTTCTTAGGTTTAACTTTTATAACCCAAACCAACCCAAGCTAGTGATGGAGTCTTAAAACCTAGGAAAAATATGTAAGTTTATTGCAAAAGATAATATCCCATTTAAAACAGTTTAGAAATTTACAAAACCTTACATCAGTACGTAGTCTTTAAGAAGGTGCTCTATAGATGAGCTGGTATTAATTCCAAGTATAGCGAGTACACATTTTTTTAACTACAGAGAAAGCAGCTACATAAACGCCTGCAACTTAAGGTGATGTATCAGTCCTTCACCTTTCAGTTTTATAAAAGTAACCTTTGCTAAATTAATATCGCTCTGTAAAACCAGATAACTTCAAGTACAGCATTTCTGTAGGATATCACGGTAGATGTCACATAATACTTTACAAAGAAGCAATTTTCGCATGAGTAGGTGAATATAGAGTCTTGGTATATGTATACTTTTTGAAATTTAACACAGAGATGATCGTTTCTGTTTAGCAGGAATGTGTTTACTGAATCCACTTCCCCCATAACAATTTAAACGTTCAATTTTCAGAAGAGACTTCCTTCCCAGTTTCAGGTTGGTGGCCCAAGCAATGTTGTGTTGTGCTTTGGTATAGAATCATTATAGCCTTGTTTGGTTTTATCTCTAGAAATGTCAACCTTTTCAGACCACTATTTCATCTAACTCAGTGGAGGGTTTATCCCAAGGCCACCCCAACAGAAGTGTATGGCAGCATACACTTCTTAATTATCCAAATGTTGGATTATCCATTTTGTGTGAGTTATCCCAGACATCTCTTCCTCATTGCAGGCTGACTTTGACAAATGATCCTGATCACCTCTGGGTGGCTCTGCCCATTTAATGTTGGCATGTGCACGGACTTTATAAAACAGGTAGAGTAGGTGTTCATATCTCCACTCAGGAATGGACAAACAGGCCTTGGAATAGACTGTTCTGTTGCCTGGGTGTCTTAATTCTGGGAATAGGATTATTTGCATTTTACTGTGCCGCCCAGGAACATAAATTAATTTGAAAATTAGCGGAAGCAAAGCAAATTAAGATGGAAGCGCTCCTACACGATAAAATTATATGAGATCCCCAATGATTTTGCTTTACTGGATTATCCTCTGTGCTGTTCTTTTCGGTTGTTGGGGTCAACTGAGTGTTGATCGTGTGGATACATACTGAAAAATCTGTGGCTTTTAGCCAATGGTACCATATCTTATTGAAACGTGGCTTAAGTATGACAAGTGTATTTATCTTAATTCTAACTTCACGTTATGTATTCCGGTCTCATTTTGTGGGTTTAAACATTACACTAGAAACAGAACAAGAACATCTTGAATGACATTCCAGGATTTAATAGTGCTAGCCAAGATTCCTTGCCAAATTTCCCTCTTGCTGTCACTGAAATAGCTTTGGGCACTGCAGCGCAGGGACAGGGGAAGGTGAAAGTGTCCGGGTGGTTTGCTCAGTTAGCCTCAATTTGCAGCGGGGAACGTACGTCCCACGTTTACACAGGATGCTGCACTCTGCAAAGACTCTAACTCAGACACCCAGTCTTCAGCAAAGGGGATTATGAAGTGCCTTCCTCACTGAATGCTCGTTGAGTTTAGGATGCCTTTTCTAAGCAGGCTCAATCCAACCACAGGCTGGTAGAGAGTCTAACAAGAAGGACTATGAGCCTTGCCAACCTACCCCTCGTCCCTAAGAGTAGGTAGCAGTTACTGAATTACATTACTTTAGCTGTTTGTTCAGCCATGCAAGTTTGACTGGACCCACATGTATGGAGGTCTTGTCAAAAGAATGAGCCAGACTCTAAAAGAATTCAGACTTTGGGAGGGAAAGGTCTTTAATACTAAAATGGAAAAAAATATCCTCATCCCCAGCTCTGCTGCTGCTTCAATCAGGTGACCATTGCCTGGTCACCAGGAAGGGAGATTGTGTAGATTAATATACTTTGAACTTGTCTACAAGGCTGCTGTAGGGGTGAATGGGCGAGAACCAGTGTTGTGTTTTGTCTTAGTCTTATTTATGTTTCTGGTAAGATGAAACGGACAGATAGGCTGCTGGATCTCATGATCTTAAATGTTGCAGAGAAATTAACGGTGGAATCTTAAAGTTCAAACCCAAACCAGACCCCATCCATTTGCCAGGCAGTCTCAGGCCTCAGACTGAGAAGCAGGATGATTTAAGGTGGGCCCTGGAGTAGCTACAACTGTAGGATAGTCATACCTGCAAGTCCCGTATACCCTGTGGTGAGCTTACTCTGCCACAGACTCTTAAGGTCCACACAGCATGAAATGACAAATCCTTGCTTTGGGATCAAGGGGCTAATTAAAAATGAAGAGGACCCAACCCACAAGGTGATCTTGCGTTCTCATGTCCTGCCCACTTCTGTTGTGCTCATGTATGCCAATATCTTAGAAAACTGCCAGTTTGGGTATCTGTTTTTCTCTGGGTATCTGCTTGTAATCCTCCTCTATCTTACTGCTCTGCACAACATTTTTGTTTCTTTCCTTTGGGACGATGAACCCAGGATGGGCAGGAAGTGCTTAGCGTTACAGAGGTGTAGGAAAGTGCGATGGGGGATTTGCCCATGGTGGGAATCTAGACTCACAAACCAGGATGTGTGACAGGAAGCTAGGCAAGTGGGCACTCGGGTCCGTGAGGTCCTCAGCGAGCAGTGGCACGCACTCAGGTGAGGTGTGGTCATGTGTCCAGTGGCAGGTAATCCAGCCCCAAGTTGTTCTGGTTTCACATAGCCTGGGGCCTTCGCTAAGAAGTAGAGAAGGCCTGAGGGCAGTGGTTCCCCACCTCGGGAAGGGCAGAGGTAAAGGTCCCCATGAGCTCAGATCCACCAGAAGCATTTCTTCTTCACCTTCTTGGTTTTCCGCCTTAAGTCCTGTTTCTCAGGGACTGAGGGCTCTGCCGGGGACTTTGGTGGGGGAGATGCCTCCGCAACTGGCTCTGCTTCCTCCAGACTCTGTAGAACTTCATGGAACCTGCCTTCCTGCTGCCGGAAGTCATATTCTACACTGAAAAACACAAAGAGGAAGGAAGGAAAGTAAATTCAAATCAGCACATGCTGATGTAGCATCACCAAGTGTCCAACTGACATGGAAAAACATGTGCTTTGAGGTCAGGTCCCAGATGCTTAGGCAGCTGCTTGGCTGTGTGACCTTGAGGAGCTTGTGCCACCTCTCTGAAGCTCCAGTTTCTCATTGACTGAATTGGCATCTGTAATGCCTTCCTTTTGGGCATGTTATACTAAGTTTAAACGAAGCACGTAACATGGCAGCCTAATAGTAGATGTCTGGTAAAAACGTCTCCAATCTCTCTCTCACATTTATTTAATGCTCCTAATTGTTCATTCTTTTTACATACACGTTATGCATGAAAACTGCCTCATTATAAAGTATTTAAGTAACACAGAGGATTATGTGCTAAAACTAACAGCTCGGTTTCCTTATCCATAAAATGCACATAAAAACGGCACCTATCTCAAAGACTCTCTCTGGAATTAAGATGTATATTAATTGAGAGAATATAAATGAAGTACTTAGAGTGGTTCCTGGCATATAGTAAGCCATCTCAGAACGCCCAGTGACAAGGTACCATTTGGGGACTTTATCAGTCACGTGTGGCAATCGTGATCTGCCTTTTTGGTGGCACTTACTCCGATCCTGGGTCTCTGGGAGGTGGCATGGGCATAGCAGACCAGGAAAGTGTCCCTTTAATGACAGCTCCTTTCTAGCCCTTGCTGGGTAGAAGGCTTTGGCCAGTCATGCCACATCACAAACCAACATGGGGTCTTTCCTCTTCCGTATGAAACATTTCATTTTCCTCCTTGCTAAACAAGGAGGGACACCGTTTTCGTGACTCTGCATTTCCCCCACTTTCCATACTCCCAAGCTAGCTCCTCATCTTTGGGCCTTCTGAGAGTTCTAGTATGAAACCAGGTAACAAACACAGCTATAAGCTTAAGAGCCTTCTTCCAGTCATCCTGGCACTGGCAACTCCTCTGTAAGTAAATCTCCTATGGAGGAAAGTGGACAATTAAGGGTGGAGGGAGCACATACACAGTCTGTAGGGACGTCTGCAGGACTCAGTCTTCCTGGCCCGGCTCTCCAGGTTCTGAGAAGGCTGAGCCAGACTTACCAGATGGGCTGACCCTTCCTGATGCCCACTGGCCTGATTCCCAAGCCCTCAAAGGTCAAGGCGAGCCTGAGCACCCACTGCACGCAGGCCAGAGCTTCTGCTCTCCCCAGCCTCTGACTCTCTAAACGCCTGAGAACCCTGGTCCCCAACAGTGTCATGTTTACCTCACAGACCTGTGTACAGACGATACAATGGAGTCTGTACATTAATGACTCCAAAACACACAAATAAAATAACAAAAAAAGGAATGGAGATTAGGAAATGCCCATTAAAGGAGAGTATTTAAATATGTCTGTATTGAGGAATCCTGTGAAGTAAGCATAGGTGTAAAGCTCTGCAAGACACATCGTTGAGAAGCAAAGCAAAGAGCAAGACATAATATATTAGTAGTAATAACATTAATGATGATAATAGTAGCAGTAATAGGGGCTGAATAACCATGCTTAAGGAGCATCAGGGATGGGTGTCTGATTATTTTGTTTTGTATTTTTGGTATGCTTCCACCAGATTTTCTTCTCTTCGGCTTATATCCTTTTACTTTCTGTGCCCCCTGGTCTCCTCCACAGGGACATACTCCTGGCTGGGTGACTTATAATAATGGGTGTAATGCAGGCTATGTTTTTCTAGGCAAAGCTCCACGATTGATTAACTGTGAGATCTTGGCAAAGTCATTTCTCATATTCAAGCCACAGTGTCCTTATCTGCAGAATAAGCATGGTACATACTCATAGGATCTCAGTGAAGTATAAACAACAGAATGATACAACACTCAGCTCAGAGCCAGGCGCCAACAAACACTGAATGGTATTCAGCTATTCATTCAACAAACTAAATTTACTGAGTATGTCCCATGTTCCAGGCCCTATGTTAGGTGCTGGGGGCAGAGTGGTAAACAGACAGACAGACAGACACAGAGGTCTGACACTGAGGACTTACCCAGAGAACTATTTTTTCTAATTGGTGTTAGGACATCGTTGTGAGTCTTGACAAACTCAGGTGGTTTGTTGTTGTTGTTTGTTTGAATTAAGAAGTCAGAGAAATACCACATATAAGGAGAAGAAGGAGGCTGTTTTGTGTGTATGTTCATATAATTTGGTAGAGGTATATGGATGAAGAGCTGGAAAGTAGGGGTAGTTGAGACACGTACAAGGCAGATTTTTAAAGCAATTGTTAGTTTAATCATCTGTCTCACACGCTGGTAAGAAAGATCCCCAAAGCAGTATCCACATCTGTCTATCTCACTGTGATGTCCCTGTAGCTGAGCACAGTATCAGGCCTAGAGTAGGATGGATGGCTGGATGCATGGGTGGGTGGATGGATGGATGGATGGATGGATGGATGGATGGATGGATGGATAGTTGGTTGGATGGCTGGATGAATGGTTAGATGGCTGTATGGATGAATGGATGGTTGGATGAATGAATGGATGTTTAGACTGTTGACCAGCTGGATGGATGGATGGATGGATGAAATTTCTGATACCAGAAAGCTGAGGAAATTCCTAGAATGAGTAAGGGGTGCCTACTTTGGCTCCAGCTGATGCTCTAGGATGAAGGTTATTTTTCTGCCTGGTGAAAAGAGGGCAGGGATATTTCAGGAGCTAGGAGAACTATGAATGTAGATGTTCTCTATCTGTGAAATAGTGTAAGAGAGGGTAAGAATCAGAGTTTGCAACTCACTGCTTTAAATTCCTTCCTTAAAGCAATGAGAGTTTGCTGGAGACAACTCTTCCCCGGCCTCTGAATCCATCTCTTTAAATTTCAGTTGGGGAGAGTGAGTTGCAGGTAGTGGTGACGGAAACCCACCCCAGGCTCAGAGACAAATAGGGGTGCAGTGCTGGGCAGTACATCCTGGAAGTGGGAGCCTCAGTGGATACTTCTGTTCACTGATCTGGCAAACCCTAAGCTTTGGCTAGAAGATCTCTAGTAGCTCTTGATATTGGCTAGCATTTACTAAGGACACAGAGCCACTAGTTACCAGCACCAAGAGGCCAGACAGGAGACACGGGTTTGAGCCCTGGTCTGGAACGATCCCATATGCCATGGAGCAACTAAGCCCGTGTGCCACAACTACTGAGCCTGGGCTGTAGAGCCTGCGAGCCACAACTACTGAGCCCATGTGCTGCAACTACTGAAGCCCGGGCACCTAGAGCCCGTGCTCTGCAATAAGAGAAGCCACCGCAATGAGAAACCCACACACCGCAACGAAGAGTAGCTCCCGCTCACCGCAACTAGAGAAAGCCTGCGCACAGCAATGAAGACCCAGTGCAGCCAAAAATTAAATAAATAAATAAATAAATTTATTTTAAAAAAAAAAGAAGATAAAGTCTGTCTTAGCTCACAATTTAAAGCACATTGTAGACAATACAGAAATGGCTCTCGAATGGAATACTCCTGGGTTTGAACCAAGGCTGTACCACTTACTGGCTGGGTGACCTTCGGTAAGTTGCTTCTCTTTCTGAGACCCAACTGAAAGTGGGGGTTATAAAGCTACTTCAGTGGGTAGTTGTGCAGATGGGACACAATAACGGGAAATGTCCTTATGTAGGATGTGGTCTCTACCCACTCCACTAAGTCTCTTGTCTTCCTATCTTAGAGACTGAATGCCTCACCTCCTCACTCATACCTTCAACTCTTCAGTAATTGTATACCTTGCCAGAAACATCACTTTTCACCTCTCCCCTCCATGTACATTCAGGGAAGAATATGCTCTTTATATTTCTATGGAAACACCACAGGCTTCCATTATAATCACTGGGACTTAGGGAACTCCCCATCCTCTTCTTGCAACTACCCCCATTGGTCTTGACAATTCAAAGAGGATTGAAGGTGACTTTCTTTTCAAGACCAGACAAATAACAGAGTACAGAGAAGCATCTGTGCTTTGGAAAGAAATTGATTAATGTTTTTTTAGGCAATTTATTAACATAAAGGAAAATTGTCACTTTTCTTCTTATCCATCCATTTGACAAACTACTGTTTAGTTTGGAAGGGAGGAGAAGGTGTATATTTTGTTTTGGTAGCAGCTACCCTATAAATGGGCAGGAGGCAGTGCCCTCTCTCATCTGTCTTTCATTTTGAGGCTGGGTCGAGAAGAGGAGATGCCCCTCAACTTCTTCTTAGCCAACCCACAGCACTTTCAGCAACATCTTGAAAGAGGGAATAAAATGCCAGCATGAGAGAATTCAAGCAGACTCTTAGCAGGGGGTTGTTTGCAGATTCTGGGGAATAAATGCCTGCTTTGGGTTTGGTATCAAGGTAGAACACTAGTAACTTTTCCAACCTTCCCTTCTCTCTTTCCTCTTAATCTACCTATCCTCCCACCCTTACCATCTTCTCCGTTCATATCCACATGGATGAAGAGGAGTGCTGAATGCTTAGTTTGTACAGAGCTCTGGCTTACGGTGGGATGGGAGTGGCAAATGGTGGTCAAGAAATCGTTATAATACAGGATTCAGGCCCGGAGCCATTGAGATAGTTTGGAGCATTCAAGGTCTGCAAGGTTGGCCCTCTGAGGACGCACGGAATACCTGACGCCTGGTTCAGGAGTGCCCAGTTCACTGTCTGGGGATCCTTAGAGCCTTTCCCAGCCAAGATGTCTGTGCATGGTGCCACTTTGCATTTAGAAAGTGAGCTGTGTGTAGACCAAGAATGGAAGAGAGCTTTCAGGTTTCCCTCTTGAGGGCATTTCACTAATCTAGCTGACAGATCAATGCTCCAGCCATCATGCTAGGTGAAAAACAGAAGGATGTTTTTCTAGGTAATTGGAAGTAGCGATAAGCCTAAGTCATGGCTTGTCTGGAAGAAGAAATAGTGAGAAAAGTAGATAAATGCGTAAATACATAAGCAAACAACAGAGACAGATTCGGGATGTAGCA